ACTCTCCAAATAAATTATTATCTCATTAGAATGTTTATTCACCAAACGCAAAGAATTCATTCTAAATCAGCTTCTTAATTTAAACTATATGGAGCATCTCTCTGCCGTTATGTTAATGAAGGCTGACTTATTTTGTACAATATAGTCTGATAACAGATTAAAGCAGCCATGCAAACGTAAAGCATGATGTTCCACTAACTTCATTCACCTTTGTGTTTACTCTGATACAGTCATACAATTAATAACATTACATGACAACGTTTAATTTAGAAACATTTTTCACCGTATAGATTTAGTTCATCCAATTACCGCCACTGGGATAATGCTAATTCCTCCTGGCGCCCCTAGTGGTGCTGTACACTCACATTTGATAGAAACTCCAGCTACTATCTTGTAACAGACATTCATGTTTTTACTTTAAAATTGTTCAGAACTAATTTTATAAAGCACAGTGACCTCCACAGAGCAGGAAGCTATTTACTAAAAAGGTGTTCAAACATAAAATAAAGCAGGAAATACAAGAAACATACAGTGTAGCTGTTCTGTACCAACATAAACTGAATGGGACGTTCAGTGAACTACAAAATCTTTTTGTCATCTATTATAAATGGGGGGCAGCTACACAGTTTGTAGCAGTATTTCATGCTGAATCATTTACTTTAAAAGTAACTACTGTTTATCCAAATACCATCACACTGATGATGCTAATTTCAGGTAGTATTCTAATTGGATCTGTCATGTTACAGAAACAGCCAGAAGTAACACAATAAAGATCAAAGGCTAAAGTGACCCTTATTAATCCCACAACGGGGAAATTTCACCTCTGCGTTTAACCCATCTGTACAGTGAAACACCGCATACACTCTAGTGAATGCACACACACACACTAGGGGGCAGTGAGCACACGTGTGCAGCTAAAATTACAAACAGACAGTCAGAACAGTGAAAAGTTTAAACAGCCAGATGATAAATTAAATATATTTAGTGGGCTTATGTCACTCTATGCAGTCTGATTATAACAGATTATAACACAGAAGACTGGAGACAAATTCACATGGAGAAAACAAAAGTATAAAGCACAAAGACACAAGAGACAAAATGATATAAGGATTATTTACACATCAACAAGAATCACAGAGTTAAACTCAAACACCACAGATTTCTCTGAATTTCTGCATAACTAAATGGTTTAGATGTAAACAAACTCATTCAGAGTGTTTTGGTGTGAAATGCTCAGTTTTAGTGTCAGAACTGTTCACAGTGGTGTTGATAGGAACCAGATATCTGAACAGTTTAATGCCTCTAGAAGCTACATCACATAAAGTTATTATGGGAAATGATTATGAATAAGCTGCCTGATGCCTGAAACAGTGTTTTATGTTGGTTTTATGAGAATGTTTATATTTTTACACCATGTCTTTACGGAGAGGTGCATGTGTTACATGGCAAGTCAATCAACATGCTTTACTGTAAAGCATATACTACTATAAAGTCTGCGTCTCCTTGAGAAGATCTCAACTCTAAATTAAAATCAGACGGTTGATATTTACACAGCAAAGTCAACAAAAACAAACTACATGAACAAACTCAGAAACCTGAACTGTCAGTCCTGAAGGCTAAAGCGTACTGACACAGCAGGCATGAAACATGTTCATGGACCTTTTAAGTAGACGGAGACATTTGTATTTACATTCTGACTCTGTTCATTTAGCAGTAAAAGAGCACTGTAAGAACCAAATTCACAAACCACTGACAACAACGATTCAGATTTTTAACACGAGTGAACGTGTTTAAATATTGATTTTGAAAATGTGTAGAAAACCTCACATTCTACTCTGTCAGCGTTTTAAGTGATGCTGCTGCTTTAGAACTGAAAGCTTGAGGTAATGGTGGCTAGCAATGGTTGCTAAGCAGTAATTGGAGGGCTAAGAAAATGAGGTTGGGCTTGGGATCCACCGATTGGACTACATTCAGGTATGATGTGGGAAAATATAATGGAGTTGTAAATTCAAGTTCAGTTTTAGTTCTACAAATCTGTAGGGAATCTGCTGTGTAATGTGATATTCAGTAATATTCAGAGTTAAGCTGTGAGTTGAGGCCTTTACTGAATAATTCTCTGAAAATTGCAACATACAAAAACAAACATGTCACTGAAAGTGTCTTATAAGCTTCAAATGTCTGTTTTAAAGCTAAAATTGCCATAAGTAGCATTAAACCCAGTTTGGATAAGTGGCAGCCCAATTTTAACCCATGTGGGGCCCACGAGGAAATGTTAGCTGGGAAGGAACCCAGTTTGACACCTCTGATCCAGACACTGTCTGTTTCATTTGCAGGTAAATAAGTGATGGTATGTTGTACGAATGTATGAACACTGGTACTTTGAGGGGTTTCATGAGTACTTTTTCCACCCCGTAACATTGCAAGACAAAGCAAAGCAAATCTACAATATTAGCTGGCTTTAATAATCAGTGAAAGTGGCTGAATTATCAGTTTACTATTCCTGCCTGAAAAACACATGACAGGAACTTTGCACCTGGTTAAAATAAGAGAGAATTTCTAGTGAGAACTGCCTCTCAGTAATGTCTACTGGGTTGGTCAGACACTATAGGGCGATCCTGAGAGAATCCAAAATGAATAGGATCCTATGGAGCTTTTGTTCATTATAATTTGTGAATGTTTAATTCTTTAATGCAAACAAATAGACTCAGTTTCTCAAAACAGAACTGCATAATGTATTTCAACACTCCTGTCATACTTGAAAGCTTTTTAATCCAGTTAAAGGACTTCATAACATTCATTACAGCAGCAGAGCTTGTTTAAGGACCTTTCCCTCCATTAAACCAAAAACATGATTACAACACTAGAGGGCGCCTTGAGTCCTCAGTGAATGGGGGTGAATGGAGCTAAATGACTATAAACAACATTAAATGTGTTTCTGGTCTTTCATACAGAGATTTTCATTTAAAAGTGAAAGAATGACATTAAATAATTATCAAAAACTTGCCAGCATCATTCCATTTTCTCTACAGCTAACATGTATTCAGTCGTGGGACGCTAGCACTGCTGAGTGCTGATTGGCTGGTGAGCTGATCAGTTCAGTAGCTCAGTGAAGTGGTTTGGCTTTGTCAGTGTTGAAGGTACAAGATCCCTTATCATAATTCAGTTTACTTGACCATTTTCAAACCTCTCTTCATCCCTTAGAATTAAACAGGCTGTGCCTTTAAGACTATTACATGTAAATGAGCTCTGTTCTGATTGGCTTCGTTCAAAAAGCAGTCTGGGCTGAAACGCTCCTTATAACTCTGTGTAAGTGAGTGGGGGTAATCTGTGGTTGGCTGAATAGGCGGATATATGCAAATGTGTTTTTCTGACATCACAAAAACAGTCAATTCCATTCAGGGTGTTTTCAGCTCCAGTTCCATATATGGACTTTATGAACTGGTAAAAAGTATGAATGTTTTGAAAGTTCAACATTGTTTACTCACTATATCTGTTTCAATAAAGTGAGGAAAACGTGGTTTTCCATGACATGGACCCTTTAAAAGGATTAACCGTTTACAAATGACAGTTTTACACAGAAGCTCCATAGAAACCCATTCATTTTGGACGCTCTCAGGAGCGCCATCTAGTGTCTGACCACCCAGACGCTATAAAGACATCACTGAGTGTCGGTTCTCCTCACTAGAAATCCTCTGACTGAACCAGTGAGAGAATCAATGAACATCAAGTTCAGCTCTTTCTACACGAAACTCGGACAGATGTGATTAAATGAGACTCCCGGCATCGTTTAGTGAGTTTATCATGTTTGTTATCAGTTAACTGACTCCACAAATTCACTGTTTTCCAGCTAAAAGGTTCGAGGTGAAGTTACGATGTGACTCCACTGTAAAAAGTAAAGGTGCCTTAAATCTCTAATGAGGTACTCAAAGAACTGAAACACACGGCTCCATCAAGACGCTCTGTAAGGAGGATAAGGACGAATAATGAAGACGTCTGTTCTGATCTACTGCAGTGACAGAGAGGAGCTGAGCTCAGAGACAGTGAGCAGAGCTGGAGGATCAGTTCAGGGAGGAGGAGGTTTTTCTGCACTGTTTATTTTCGAATAAAGTCTCACAAACTCGAATATAAACACTGACTGAAACGCCTCGACAGTGTCGCGGAAATAAGACCGATAAACAAACGAAACCCGCCGAAAAAGAGTGTAGAACTGTGGTAGAGACTCACGTGTAGATGGTGAGTGTAGCTGAGTGGGGGAGTGAGTTGAAATGCGGGTCGTTTCGCTGATAAAGTTTGAGAGCTTTTTCGAGTCGCGCTGGTTCAGCAGAGCGGATCGCTGGTCTGAGCGCTGGAACGCACGCGACGAGCAACGTAGCCATGGAGACAGAGTTCTAGAGCGCGAGCTCACAGTGCAGCACTTCAACACTTCACGATCAACTTGATGACGACAGAGATCGAAAATAAACAGAACTTTTCAATAATAATAATAAAATATAGACAGTTTTTATTGTATTTAATATATAAAATAATAATTATACACTAAATACGATACTAATTGTGTACAATTGTTGTTTTATTTGACATAACATAATAGTTGTTATTTTATTTTTTAGTAATTTAATGTAAAAATGAAATATACAGGTGCTTTTTTAGTGAAATACATTCTTCTACTTTGCAAAATTAGAGGAAGTTGCTGAACAAGTGATTAGAAACTATTTTAACTTTTCGTTTTTAGCCGTTTAGCTCCATTCACCCCCATTCATTCAGGACTCGCTCGCGGGCGCCCTCTGGCGGTCTGCAGTCATGGTTTCGAAGTAACGGGAGAAACATGAAGAGGCCAAACTCCCTTAAACCAGCTCTGGAGCGACTAGCCAATCACAGAGAAGAAGGGCGGGGCCTGACAGAATAAGGGCGGGGCATTACTGAAGCTTTTCACGGATGCGCTCTCTCTCTCTCTCTCTCTCTCTCTCTCTCTCTCTCTCTCTCTCTCTCAGTCTGTCGGACTCCAGTCGGTCCGCGCGGAGCAGCCGAGCAGCCACCATGACCATCAACACGCTGAACCAAGGCGGAGTGCAGAGAGAACAGATGCCCTGCTTGACCAAGGTAGGACGGGCCGAGAACCTGAGGGGCTGTTTTCTGTTCTTCACCTCACAAAGCATCAGCTGAGCCACCGTTAGCGGACAGTCTGCCAGCTGTGTTCAGCTCCAGAGACCCTCAGAACCCCTCACTTCAGCCTCTGTCTTTCCTGTAAACCTTTAAAGTGAGTCTGTTTGACGAAGCTCACTTCAAAATAAGTTTTTATCTCAAAATAACGACTTATTGGCTCCAAAGTGAGACTCGGTGTCTCAAAATAACGACTTATTGGCTCCAAAGTGAGACTTGGTGTCTCAAAATAACGACTGTGTTGATATAATGACTCATTTTGTACGTGTTATCTCGAAATAAGGACTAAAATAATGACGTACTTGCTTGAAAGTCATTATTTGGACTTATGAATTTTTCAAGATCAAGTCAAAATAGACAGACTGCTGCCGGAAAAGAAAAGGGGATTGTTGTCTTTTCTATCTGGTGTGAATGAGTTTCTATAGAATCACTGTGTAGTTCATCTGCACTTTCCATGAATAGAGTTCAGTTTCTGTCCCATCACCTTTTTAAAAGCAGTAAAGTGACTGTTGTTGTTTTTATTCCTGTAAAAAGTGAAGGATCTGTAGTTTAGCTTACAATTAGCATTAAAATGATCACAGAACACATAAAATGTCAGAAACGGGGCTTTGAAAGCCCCCTTTTACCCTGTTCTTCAATGGTCAGGAGCAGGTATTATTACTAACAGTGCCTAATAGAGTGAACAGTGAGTGAATATTTCCCAGAAAGGTTTTCTCAGCATGTTACTGACTGTACTTCATACAGTACTGAGGACTCACTTATGCTGAAATGAAAGGCCTGTTGTTGATTTTAACTGTCTGAGTGTGTTGAACACTGAGTTTTGACGTCATGCTACCATATTGATATTTAGCTTTATCAATATTCATAGAGGACAAAAACACTGTTAACTGTGTTTATGATTATTGGTGCTTCAAGATTGTTTTGGAAGAACAAGTCAAAATACAAACGAAGTGAAGAGTAAAATTCTGTGAATGTAAAACTAAACAGTCCATTCATGATGAGCTGAGTCAGGTTTCAGTTCAGAGTAGCAGCACTGAGGAAGCCTGAGTTCAGTACCTTTATTAATGCTGACTTAAACACCATGATATACCAGATATCATGTTGCTGTGATGTATTTGGAGAATGTTGTGATAGTAGTCAGTGTGTTTTGGCTGTGCTGTGTTGATGTAGATGGAGCGGGTGATCGTGTCGATGCAAGACCCTGACATGGGAATGAAGATGAGAAACCAGCGGCTGCTCATTACAGTTATACCTCATGCGATGACCGGTGAGACTCTCTCTCCCTCTCTGTCTCTCTCTCTCTCTCTCTCTCGCTCTCTCTCTGTCTCTCTCTCTCTCTCTCTCCCTCTCTCTCTCTCTCTCTTCCTCTCTTTCACAAGTTCACTGAAGTTGAAATGAGCTCCACTTACATCCACTTGATATTCCCACATGGTTATAACGGATCGTTCCGTTCATCTTCCGAGCCACCAACATGTCACAACACGATCAGGCGATTAGTTAATTAGAGACAGACCTTCTGTTAGTTAGTGGCAGAAATAGTTCATGGTTGTTATTATTGTGGAAGATTCTTTGGCTCGACCAACATGAACCTTTTGTGACCAACTGCTGTAGTTTTGAAAGTGACATTTTTTCCCATTTTTGCTTAACATAGGATTTTAGCTGCTGAACAGTTCGGGGTCTCCTTCATCGTATTTTTCATTTCATAATGTGCCAAATGTTATCAGTGGGTGACAGATCTGGACTGCAGGCAGGTCAGCTTAGCACATGGACTCTTTTAATATGGAGCCATGCTGTTGTAATACATGCAGAATGTGGTTTGACATTGTCTTGCTGACATAAAGCCTTCCCTGAAAAAGACACCATCTAGATGGCAGCACATGTGGCCAAAACCTGTATTTAGCGTTCAGCATTAATGGTGCCTTCACAGATGTGCGCGTCATCCATGCCATGTGCACTAACACACCCCCATACTGTCATGAATACTGGCTGTTGAACTGTGCACTGATAACAAGCTGAGTGGTCTTTAGCCACTCAGACACAGTGTCCATGATATCCAAAACAAATTTCAAATGTTGATTCTTTGGACCACAGGACACTTTTCCACTTCCCTTCAGGCAATTTTAAATGAGCTTCGGCCCAGAGAAGGTGGCAGCATTTCTGGATCCTGTTCATATTTGTTTTTTTCTTTGTGTTTTAGAGTTTTAACTTGCATTTATGGAAGTAGCGATGAACTGTGTTCACAGACAGTGGTTTTCAGAAGTGTTTCTGAGCCCGTGCAGTGATTTCCTCTATAGAATCATGTCTGTTTTTAATGCAGTACCACCTGAGGGCCCAAATATCACGGCCAGCAAACACTGTTTTTTTGGCCATATAATGTTTCTAGTTGCAATTTTTCTGGGTTATGCGATTATTTGCTGCAAATTATTTAAAAAGGTCTGAAGCCTTTCAGCCAAAATGTCCAGCACAATCATTTTTCAGGTTTGACACCACTTCACAAGCTCTATCATACTACATTACATTTTTCCTCTTAAAACTTGTTCAGACAACTGTAAACAAGGAGATGATTATAATTGCACCTCTTCTGATTTGAAAATTGCACTCTTTTAATTTGCGATTCTGATTAAAAAAAGGATTAATCTTTCAGCTCTACCATCAGCATTATTGGAAAACAATTATTATATTTGTGTAAAAACTGCAGAGCCTCCAAAACAGGTGTACATTGTACAGTGATTAGAAGTGATGCCAGGTTTACTGTGTGTATCTCTGAAACTCAGTGTGAATGTTTGAAGAGAGCGGCTATCCATCTGAAAGTCTTTGTACACTGAACTCAGATGACACTGTGTGTTTTTTGGCCCTAAAGTTCATTTTTCATGATTAATTTTACAGTAGTCTGCAGTGTCGCTCTCTCAGAGGAGGTAGGGTTTACATAAGGGGAAGTGTGAGGGAACGCAGTCAGAATCTGATTCACTTTGTATTTAGCTGTGCTGTGCTGAATTTCATCTTTGTGCATATGGTTATGAATCACAAGATATAAGAATTGAGTCGGTATCGGCAGATAATTGCATAAAAAATGAATGGCTTTGGACAGACATTCATTTTTGACTGATATCATTTTTGACTGATGCTTTTTTAATCATGACAGTATCCTGAATCAGACGTGTTGTCAGACGTCAGATGTACATCAGTCAAGGCGGTCAAACGTGCTCGTTTCTGTCCACCTTAGAAAAATAAGGGCCATTGTTTATTCATAAAAACATAAAATATTTTCTTTTTGGAATTTATTTTGGAATTTGTGTTCTTGGTGACTGTCAATACTTTGAGGGAGGTGCACAAGTATAATCAAAATGTGGGAAATATATCATGTATGATGCATATATAATGATTTGTCAAAGCTTGGAGTGTGTTAAACATGGTTACCTCCATGTTTCTACACTCACTGTCCACTTTATCAGCTCCATTTACCATGTAGTGCTCTTTGTAGTTCTATAATTATAGACTGTAGTCCAATTGTTTCTCTGCGTACTTTGTTAGCCCCCTTTTACCCTGTTCTTCAATGGTCAGGACCCCCACAGAGCAGGTATAAGTGTTGACATTGAGCGTAGAAACAGGATGTACTTAATGAAGTGGCCGGTCAGCCACTGGACTTCTATTATGACAGATCAGTTCCTCTGAGAATCTGTTATTTCCTCTTAGAACTTGTTCAGGCATATGTTAACGGTGTTACACTTGACACAAAAATGCTAAAATATTGAGCACTTTATAAAATGTTAAAAGCTCTTACATAAGAAAATTAGATTTTATAAATATGAATGAAAAGGTCCATCATGTCGAAATGTCCATTTTTTACCTTGTGCATACACACACATGCATGCATGGCTGCCCACACCAAACACACTATCTCTGAGCTCGGCCTTTGCACCATAGTTCCTGCCTGAAAATGAGCCACGTGATGCACAGCAGCTTTGGCTGAGAATTACTGCAGCATCATCTGCTGAGCCATAAAGAGCTCACACAGCGAACTTCCTGCTTGCTAATGGAACCCTAATCTTTACCTTCTGCGTGTGTAGCTCACTATTGATTACCGTGAACAATCATTTCACTTAGAAAAGAATAGAAAACCCCCCAGTCCTGTAACCCACTTATAGTAGATGCCAATGGGCAGTTGCTTCAAAATACAATGGCTTCTATTAAGTGTGTTTTGATTCAATGGGCTTTATGATCTTACGGGGAAACGTCAAAAGTATTGTCTGTCATAATCAGCTGTGTGATACAGATGCAGTAGGTAGAGATTGCGCTGAGTGCTGCTGTAGCACAGATAAAGGTAGATTTTGATTAAGTCCCCTGGTCAGATTACATGTTTTGTTGACTGTCTGAGTGAGTGAGAATAAGTTAATACGTCCTGTAGAGGTAACAAACTTAAACATGTCATTTTTCCAGCAAATTTCTGTTTATTTGCTCATCTTAAAATATTGGAAATATTAAATGTGCAATAACTTTTGCACAGGTCACATTTTAAGTTGTATTATTTCAATATACTAAAATCAGCAAATAAGTAGTAGTGTATTAAAGTGTTTTCTGTAGAGGATGTGTTCACTTACTTTCACTTTAAAACATACTATTTGACCAGGGAAGGATTACTGCTTAATGCCCAGTCCCGCGGGCCTTGTGGCACAATCCTATTCGGTCTGCGAAATTATTTTAATTTTCTATTAATATTAGCCCGTTTTATCATGAGCTGCACTACAATTACCAGCATGCACTGCAACATAATGTTTGCTTTGGGCCTTCTATGGGCCAGAGGTTACACAAAAATAAAAGATGCCTGGTGTCTAGTTCAAGCAAATAGGCAGTTTAAAAAAAAACTACCTGTAGAGGACATTAAAGACTTTTAACAGTTATCTGTAGACAATGCAGCCTGTTGTTTCATATAAAATGATTTGTTTTTATTCAAAATGATCTTTGAATAGTTCAAGTATTGAGTGCCTATTTTGCTGTTGCAGTTTTGGCATATTTTGAATGAAGAATGGCCCGTTTGGGTCATAGCGAAATGTTAAGTACAAATAAAATACTAACATTACTAACTTGAACAGTGCACTGCAGGTTTGAATATATATGAATAAAACAAAAAGAGGTCTTTCCTACGTTCAATTTTTTTCTTTTTTTATTTTTACCAGTTGCAGTTGAACAGTCCTGAAATCTGGGGTTGCCCCTCCTCTAAGTAAATACATTTGTCTTTGTCTCACAAACAGTTTTCTTGTAACAAGTTTCCTTTAGCGCTGGTCCACGTCCTGAATCAGCCCTGATAAGCTGTCTGGCTTCAGAACGTTCTGCAGATGTTTTTTCTCACCTGTGTCATGCTTGTTAAACTGATAAATCACAAAACATCTGATTACATCACTAAAAACAAAACCGACACATAGGTCTGCTAACAGTGGCCTTTAGGCTACTTCACATGGTTAAGGTTTAGCCATTTTATTATTTTAAAAAGAAGCAGTTTATAGCTGTAAACATGCAGGTTATTAAACCTAACCAAACCACACCAGAAACTACTAAACCAAACCAGGAACAAAGTCAGCTTCTGACAAGGAACAAAGTTTCTGACAGGAAAGCTTGTTGCTTTTGGCCAGTTTAAGCAGGCACAGCAGGTAGTGTGGTGTTACAGTGTGTACTCTGCTGTAAAACAGCTTTGTTTTTAAACAATGAACTGCTTACACCCCCCACCCAACCCCCCAACCTTCCCCCAGGAATAGTATCGTAAATCGGTAATAGCTAGGAGATAGCAATCTATATTGCACATGGTATCACAAGCCTATCCTGTGGAGTTAAGAGGACATTTACCTGCACTCTCTATTGGTCAATTCATTTGAAGTGACAGGTCTTCTGAACGCATAGCCACGCACAGTCAGTGAGCCGTGATCTGCCTCGAACATAGAGAATGCAGGTGAGCGCCCTCTACCCCTGCCCCCTGTTAAAAAGTGCCAGAAGCAAAAAAAATAGAAACAAATTAAAGCAAAAACTGGCAAAATGAGTAACACATTTATATCAGTGAAAATGTGTTGTAATCTTTTAAAAAGTTAAATTTGATTTAACTCTCATTGTTTGTATTTGCGACATATTTTGGACATTTTGGTACTTAATATTTTGCTTGTGGTTTTATTATTTTATTTGAAACTTTTGGCACAACATTAACTCCGTACTATCCATTTGTCGTGAATTTTTAATACATTGTAAATGGCAGCTGGCATTTCCAAATTCTGTAAAAAAGTAAAAAGTTACAAAAATGGAGATAGAAGTCTTTGTTCAGGCAGCGACAATATACAGACCAAGCTTTGTCTGTTTGAATGGATGTGGTTGCTTGTCCGTCTGTCCGTTTGACACTCTCCTGTCTTTGTCCATCCAGGTCGAGATATTGTTGATTGGCTGATTCAGAAGTATACCATAACGGAAGAAGGTAGGAACACATATGTATGTGCACATGCGTATGTGTGTATATCTGTGTTTGTGTGCAGGTCTGGTGTGTGCATGTGTCCATGCTGGTTGCTATGCTTTGTTTCCAGCAAGAGTCCTTGAGGAGATGACATGATTCTTATTGTGTGCTCCTTTGGGAGTCTTCCAACACACATATACTCGTATTTATACCTTGTCAGGACGAGGGCTCATACATATACCTCATAGAGTTACTTAGATATTTACTTAGTCTTTAAAGTTACTCTTTGGGAGATGCATGGTTTTATTCAGCAGTGTAAGTACATATATGGGCAGATATTCGCTTTAAACATGGATCAACATTTTATAGATGTGTAGATTTGATATTTCTAACTGATATTTGATGATGTATTAATCCATTCATCCAGGGAGGTACAGTCCCAGTTTCTACATTTTATAAATGTTAATGTATCGCCATCAGCAGACATGTACAGTACTGTGCAAAGGTCAAAGGCAAGACTTCGTTTCAAAATGATTGTCAAAACAGCCATTAAATATAAGTTATTCACTTTTCAGGAGATGTTTCTGAGAAGATTAGATATGAGATAATCCACTTACATCACAAATGAAAAGTCAAAGGAAGATAAAGAGAAAAAAGAGAAAGCAACCATGTAACACCTGGTAGACCAGCAAAACTATCAGCATCAGACAGATAATGCTTGAAGTTTTTTTTATCTTTAAGGAGAATATTAAGCTTCACTCTTACTTCAGATCTGAAAAAATCCAAAGCTGTTTCTGTCCAACCTTCCACTGTGAGAAGACGACTCAATGCTGTGGGTCTAAATGGATGTGTAGTTGTTAAGGAGCCATTACTGAGAAAAGGATATTGTTTGTATGCAAAAAAGGGGAAAAATTGCAAATTTTGCAGTCCAGATTTCAGCATTACTGGATGTGTTTGGCATTATTTGGATTGTGATAAGCAGAAAATGTTAAACCAACTTCTAAGACTGAACTTGAGGTGTGGAAAAATATCCCTGCAGGTTTTTTAGATATCCCTGCAGGTTTTTAAGTCTGAAAAGAATGGAAGCTGTAATAAAGGCAGAGTAGACAAACTAAATACTGAATGAAGTAATTAAGTTATAATAAGTAGTTGAGGTTTCTATGTAATTTTCTATTAAATAAATACAATAAAAATACATTTTGCTTTCTTTCCTAATGTTTATGGATAAATAACATATACGTAAAGGCTGCTTTGACTGGAAGTGAAATAATCACGTTGGTGTAGTGTAGTGGATAACGCCTTCTACACTGTAGACTGGGGTTCAGTCCCCACCTGGGTAAGCACCCTACTCTATACCAATAAGAGTCCTTGGGCAAGATTCCTAACACTACCTTTGCCTACCTGTGTAAAAATGATCAAATTGTAAGTTGCTCTGGATAAGAGCGTCTTCCAAATACCGTCAATGTAAAAGAATGGTAGTCTCATTTGCACAGTACTGTACATGACAAATAGTGGATATTGGCCTTTACCCACAGTTCCCATGTTGCAAAACCTAACCTAACCAAAATCAGAACAGTTTGGCCCTGAAAATGTAAACACACACACACACACACACATGCAGGCACACTCACAAACTTAGACACGTGCACATACAGTTCAAAACTGCTGTAGCCAAAATATCCTCATATTATAAATGGAGTGCAAAGAACAGAGCACTCTGATTATCAGAACTCTGGGAAAGCAGGAATTAGGATAATATCAACTGTCAGCAATTAGTACAGACTTCACTTGTAATCCTAACATCACAGACCACACAAAAATACTCTGTAGCCTGAGTGTCAGCGTAGCGAGTATTATGAAGGAGCAGTTTGAAAGTGGAAATATTTGCGCAGAGCTGTGTTTTTCTGCACCCCTGTTGGGCTTGGTAAGCTTAGGTAAACATCTAGGGCATCACGCAGGTGTATGTGTTGTAAACAAGACTCCAGAGAGTTCTGCAGTGACTTAATGTGCTCCAGAAAGGAGAGCATGTGCAGTTAAGAGTCGAGCTGAGTCGTTTATTTTTATGTATCCAAGTGCAGTGTTTATTATTTTCACTATAATACATTGGGAAATCAGTACTTTTCACATATGTGAGTGTGTTAAGACTTACAAATACTAATTTATTTGCATATTAGCAAATAAATACACATATGGTTCAACCTAATGGTAGTATAATTACTGAAGATACCAGTGCTGACTAATGACTGATGCTGACTCAGTGCTATATCAGCATTGTCAGTACCAGTCAAAGCTGTGATGTAGAAATATTACATTGAACTTTTGTTTGTGTGTGTTTTTAGAGGCGTTACATATAGGAAACCTCTTGGTGAAATACGGCTACATATACCCCCTGAAGGAGCCTCGGAACCTGTGTTTGAAACAAGACGAGACCCCCTATCGCTTTCAGGTACACACAGACAGTCAGACTAATACCAGAGGTGTATTACATGTGAAATACACATAAATGGTACATATCAAGTAGGAAACCACCAAGACTTGCATATATCATTTACAAATGTAGAGAAGAATGTCAGAGTTTTATGTATTTATTCAATGTGGGAGTGGACATGCTTTTCTGAGCATATGATAGATATTGTCAAAACTCAGTAATAATAATAATAATAATAATAGTAATTATAATAATAATAAAATTTTAATTCAAAGTTTTTTTTTCATTTAGATACAATATCTCAAAGTGCTTTACATGGGAATTTAGGTGAAAATGGAAAAACAACAATACTGTGTTAATGAAAAATAAGAGCTGAGGTACAAATCAGAAGCAAAAATGACCCACAGTACTCTAGTAAGCCAGGGGTCGGCAACATGCAACTCTTTTGCTGCCCTGTTTCGGCTCCACAGCAGAATTAGATCTTTAGGTAAAAATAAAATAATCCTCCTTTGCAGTAATATAAAGTTTTGCTGATCGTAACACAGTTTTAGGAATAGTGGTCTTTAATGCTGGAGTTAATATAGTCTATATCTGCTAATTCACCAACTTTTGACCCTGAAGGTTGACACGCAGTCTGCTGGTCACATAACAAGGCAGCAATGCAGACAGTCTTGCCTAGCTAGTGGTTAACAAAAAGGCAAAGAGAAAAATTTAAGACGAACATCGATAATTTGGAGATGAATGGACTTATTTGCAATTATAATCACTCCAGCTCATTTCCTGATTCGTTCAATCCACAACAAGAAACTGAGAAATACTAAAAGTCGGGAAGCTGAAGCCGTTCCACCTTAAATGGCACAGCAGTTACATTCTGGTGCCTCAGGCACCATTTAAGGTGGAATGGAAAAATTCAAACAAGAAGCGAATGAGAAGCTGACTTCAGCCTCGTAGAATTGAATGTTGAGAGACATTTTACAAGAATCTATTCTACTTTTGAGGAAAAGTCTCCTGCTGGAGATGCGAGAAAAGTAGCAACAATCTGCTTTTTCGTTTATATTTTTTAGCCTGTATTACTACATTAGCATGTACTGACACATTTACAGCCAAGATGGTAAAATGGACATAAAATGTTGTGGCTGCCACAGTGGTTTAATTTTTGTTGAAAGGACAAAATGACTCTTCTTAACATTTGGGTTGCGACGCCTGACCTAGACATATGCTAACCTGAACAGATATGTTCTTAATGTGGATTTAAAAACAAACACCATTATATTCCAATATTCTCTGGAAGGCTATTCCAGAGTGTAGGGGCTACATAAGAAAATGATCTTCCTCTAACTGAGCTGTTAAAGATCCTTGGAATTTGCAGTAAGCCTGCCTCAGCTGAGCAAAGTGGACTGGGAAGGCTACAACGCTTCAGCAGATCAATAAGAAATATCAGTGCTACGCAATTAAGAGTTTTAAATGTCATGAAGAAATCTTGGAGTCAATGTAAAACCTAAGAAGAAGCAACTGGACACTGAATAAAACAGGAGTAATGTGCTAAAACTTTCTTCTCTTCGTGAGCACACGAACTGCTGCATTCTGAACTAGTTGGAGCCTCTTTAGAGAGACAGACAGTAACACATTACAGCAGTCTAATGCAGTAGTTAAAGAACTTAATGAACACTAACTAACTGCATGTTTCATAGAAGAGAGCTTAAATTGCCCTTTTTTATTCAGTTTAGTGCAGTGTGTAAAAAGTATCGTATTTGTAGTTTTTTGATCATTTGTAGCACTAAAGTTAGTTTTTTATCTGTTCCGAATGATCAACCTCAGAAAAACGAGTAGTAAAGTATTGCAATCTCTGATGTATTGCAATATGTTTTTCCATATCCCGTATTTCATTGAATGAAATTTTGTTTCATTCAATGTGAAATTAATGCTAAAACCCAATTCTAAACAGCCATGGATTTAATAAAGTTCTCCCTCACTCACTTCTCATCAAGCTGGCTAACAAATTGAGATCAATATCTTAACGTGTTCTACAAAAGCTGGTCACACAGAAAGCTTCTAGCTTTTAAAACAACGTTACATTTGTTGAATTATGAATATTTATAGAAAGGATTACACTTGAAGGGACTAATTAATGTAATGTTAATGGGTAATAGATATTTATTTAGCTGGGTAAGTGTTGCAACGCATCTGACACATAAACACTTAAAACCACATTTGTTTCTTCCAGACACCGTATTACTGGACCTCAACCCGTTGGCCTGCTTCAGAGCTGGATTACGGTGAGTTTCTTCAACCTCACAAATCATTCACTGTACTATTTTAACATCAGGCTCAAGCTTTGCTGGCTATTCTGCTCTTGTTTTCTACCCAAAGCAATTTATTTGGCCAAGAAGAACATTCGGAAACAAGGGGAGCTGATAGAGTACGAGAAGGTATGTGTGCTAAAATTGCTCTTCCAGCACAGTTGTCCACACAATGCTTACTGTACCATGTGTTAATTGGGAAATATTTTCTCTTGCTTTTCTTCCCCTCCCCCCCTCTGTCTCTCTCTTTCTCTCTCTCTCTCTCTCTCTCTCTCTTTCTTTCTCACTTTTTTCCGTCAGGAGTGTTATAATGCTTTACATAAGAGGATCAATCACACCTGGGACTTCGTGGTGATGCAGGCGAGAGAGCAGCTTAGGTGAACTGCCATTTGCTGCTCACAAACACACTCCATCTCTCCACTTACCATTCTTGCTCTGTCTATTATGTATGGGGGAAACTTCTCATTCCTGGAGAAGTGAAATGAAGACTGCAGCTAAACAAGAGCTGCTGCAGTTTTAGTACCATCAGTACTGAAAATACCAGCACTAATTAACACTAATACTGGCCCAGTTTCCCAAAAAAAGTGTTAAGATTGTCTTAATTGGTAGAGAGAGTGTTTATTGTGATGTGCACTCGACCATTTAAGAATCAACTTTGTGCTAAGATGATTTTGGGAAACCCACCCACTGTTAGTACTAAGACATCAACATAGTACTAGCTACATCACCATTGTCTGTACTGTGATATAGTAATATAGCATTGTAATGTTTATCTATTGTTTTCAAAGGACTATGTTGTGTTTTTTTTTTTTTTGTTTGTTTTCCTCCATTCAGGGCATCTAAACAGCGGCGGAAGGCTGATCGCATTGTGCTGGAGTGTCAGGAACAAGCCTACTGGTTAATCAACAGACCTCCTGTGAGTACATATGTCATATAATACATTAATATATTATATTGTGAAGACATATAACAGCACATATTAATACTGGCTATGCACTGTGTGCTACTACAGCTCAGTGTTTCCCCATTGTGATTGTGATTGCCTGAGTAGTAATTGCAGCATACTTTACGTTCAGGTTACAAGGTTAAATTGGCGCAAATACGACTTTTTTCTCCCTAATTTACTTGTGGACAGTTCTGTCAACTACTTAGGCCTCTTCTATCACACGGTGCTACCAAGCTGCAAGGATGAAAGCTCTAGCATGTACTTCCTCCAAGATAGGTCAATTTAGGCACTGCATCTTTTAGAACAGTCACTAACGCACCGTCAATGGACAACTCAGCAGGCTTGGAGGAGAACAATAAAAACACCAGATATGTTAAGTCAGCTAACAGACACCCTCGTTGGCTAGCATCGCTCTGAGTGAAGGGAAGAGGGAGGGTCATCCTACCCATCCAGAGAGAACAAGGACAGTGATGCTGTTTGGACTCCTGGCCACGTATGGCTGTAGTATCAACTACTCTATTCAAATCACGTCCGAGTCTCCTTTATATGTGATACATATTGGATCATGGCCAATTCGGAATGTGTATTTTCCCACTGATTACTGTAATCATCCACTGTTGGCAATATGGCAACACTAAATACTAAACACTAAAAATACTAGCAGTTTCTATCAGTAATAGCTGCAGAAGCACTGAAGCATCTGCCCTTTTTTTTGACAAACAGAAACGTGAACCATCAAGGCAGAAAGATCGAAATTGGAACTGAACAATAAGACATGTTATGTGTAGCTATCCCAGTGATTTTTATTTGTGGCCCCAAAAAAACAGTTTATCACTATTTCGTGCCTCAGCCCAGCCAATTTAACTCATCAGTTAACTGACCAATCAGGTGAATGAATGAATTTGGTGTTTGTTGATTTCTTTATTTATAGCTACAATATTCTACCCACAAAATTACTTTAGGTGATTTTTTTTTATTATGCAGAACTATTTTATCACTTTTATTTATGTATTTATTTATTTATTTAGATATTTATTTATATGTAGCTACAATGTCCTACCCACAAAATGATTTTATGTAATTTTTTATCATGCAGGACTATTTTATCACATTTATTTATTTATTTATTTATTTATTTATAGCTACATCGATACGATATCCCACCAACAAAATTATTTTTGGTGATTTTTTATTATGGAAGACTACTTTATAAGTACAATTTAACTAATTTTAAAGTTACACTGTTTGTTTTTTTTATTTGTGATTTATGTATTTTTCACATATATTGTATATTTACGCAGTATTTTTGTGTTTGTTTTTTGTTTTTTTTTATACAAGACTACTATATAATTACAATATGCACTTATACACATAGTAATAAATCATTATTGCGAAGTCACGTACGATATATGGCAGCTTGCGCTAAATAGGAACTGAATTTTGGCAGTAGAATTTATTCCGGACAATCCTACACACGCTCTCATGTTTACATGCAGCCCCTACTTATGAAATATTCATTCAGCCTGTTAAAAGCATTGGTTCCATTTTAAAAAAAAGAGGGGGATGGGAGAGGAAGGACCTGTCTGGAGAGGAAAAGAGAAATGCAGAGAGGAAGGCAGTGAGTAAAAGAGAGAGCATAAACGCATGAATAAAAGAGGGAGGAAATAAAGGGAGCAACAGAGTGGAACTCTGATTTCTTTATGAAAGCGTGCACACATGCATGCCTTCACTTGAGGCTATGAGAATTTTGCAGGATGCTTGACCCGCAAGACGTACGCTGGAGATACAGAGCATTTTGAGGTGATGCTGTGGCTGAAGGAGTGAAGACACGGTGCCTGAGAGGAAGAAAAGCAAGAGAAAAGATAGTGAATGTGTGTGTGTTTTTTTATTTTTGTGTGTTTGTGCTTGCAAGGTCATGTGACCAGGGCTTTCTCTCTAATGGGTCCATCTTCTGCCTCAGAGCTTAAGAGGATTCCATTATTGAGATGTGTGTGAGAGAGAGGGGCACCTACATGCACGCAACCATCAGTGAAAACATTATCCAGGAATTGAGGGTTTAATCTGGGCTACATTTAGAGGCCATTTCATTCCTTCACATCCAGTCTGTGCGGGTGGATTCGGTTCATTATCTGATAAACTGTAAATCCAGCAGCAGGAAATGTGTCAGGATAAGTGATTTACACAACTGCGTCTGGATAAATCGCCGGCACCAAAATGATCATTTGTCTACCTACATCTGACTGAAAGTCTAATCTGGTTTTAATTTTTAAACCTTCATCCACTAAATCACCAGTTCAGAATTATGTCTGTTAATGCATCTAAGGCCTTGGTGAAGGGGCAGAAGTATATGTCTATATGGGCCTTCAAACACACTCATATAGACCTTAATGAATGCTTGTTTGCTCAACCACAGGCATGACCCTGCCATCAGTTGTCCTACAAAAGCACTCAGAAATGTCTGTATACATGACTCAGCAAGTTATCTATACATTATGAATGTTTAAGCCCTAAGACACCCAGCCTTAGGCCCAATCCCATTTCTTATTTTTACCCTACCCCTTGTTTTCGAGTGTAACCTTGCCCCTTGGAACTGAGTTACAAGGGGTAGTGATTGAAATATTCGCCTACAAAATAGGACCCTCAAATAAAAAAAAAGAACATTACTTCATTAACAGCTACTGGGTAGCTGGGCTTTAGGTAACTTAAAGGGCATTTTATGCTTTCAGAGAGGGTGCAATGATTATTTATTATCGCCCACCCCTAGAATTTTTCTGTTCCACATTAAATGGTGAGGTAGTTACATTCAGGTGCTTCAGGCGTCAGAACTGCTGGGCTATTTAAGGTGGAACAGGAAATTTTGCTTACTAGCTGCCAAGATATTAGCATACTATTATATGCTTTTTATAAAGAAAAGGACCATAATACTTTGTCATTTCTAACAGAGAAAATTCTCACATTTGTGGGTTTCTTCGGTCGCCTGCGCCGCCAACTTGTCGGTTTTTCTTTTTTTCTCACAGCATTCCATTTGGAGTGTGGCTCTGAAAAACCTCCATTTGGAGGGCCATGTAGCCCCAACATTTCACCCTACCCCTCTATCTCAACAAAAATCAGGACACCCTAACCCTAGGCATGAACGCGCAAAACAGAGGGCTAAGTGCAAGTGGTGGAGACAATGGGTGAAATGGGCCTTAATGACAGAATCAGTCTTGAGTGTCCAGTTTAGCCACTCCTCCACAAACTGAGTACACATTTTAGCCAGAGTTCCTATGTGGCTATTTCGGCATTTCACATGCCAGACTGAGAAGTGGGATTGAGATCTGGTGATTTTGCTGGTCAGTCAAACTGTCCATGTGTTTGTCTGGTAAAGCAGTCACATACAAACACCCTACAGCTGTCACCCTGGAAGGTTGGAGTGTCAGTGTTGTGTTTTGCTTGGACATAAAGCACAAAATTTTGGAAGAGTGGACTAAAATGGACAGAAATTTAAGACATTGTTGTAATCCTTATCTGACAAGATGTTGTCTTTAGTTGGATGCTTAATCCAATATTAGAGACAAAATGATTCAAGCAATTATTTTTTGTCCAGGGAGCTTATATTGAAGACAGAACTTCTCTTGCAGTATTATTTGTAGTTACCATCCAGTACCTGGTTTTGCTGATTAATGCTTCATTAAATTATCATGTATGCTAGTGGTGGAATTGAACAAATCTGTGAGTTAGCTGGTATCCAGAAAGTCCAGAGCCAAACTTGTGTTGTTTTAACTGTAATTGTCTAGTCCTGATTTTTTGGTTAAATTTATGTTCATTTGTATTTATTGTAATTTATTATTGTGTTTTTACAGGCAAAAAACACTTACTGTGGAGATAAATCTTTTTGAACAGTTTTCTTGGCTGCCTAATACTTGCACAGTTCCGTATAAGATATATAATTTATATATTAACATTTAGTGCTGCACAATACATAGCTTGTTAATCATTATCAATATGAGTCTGGTGTGTTTTGATTCAAGTAATTCATTAAATAATGCAAGAATGCAAACTAATGTTACATTATTGATCGCCAGTGTAATATTAATATATAGCAAGGTTTATCATAACTGTAGTATGTAACAATATAATCACAGTACTAGTATTTCCATATTGTGGAGCTTTAATATAGATTGTTGCTTTTCAGTTTCAGGTAGTATAAGCTCATCTAGACATGTATAGTGTACAGATATTGTGTGTTTTTGTTTTTGTTTTTTTGTCTTCAGCCAGGTGTAATGGACATTTTGGAGCAGGGACCAGAACGGAGGAATGTTGCAAACACACGAGTACAACTGGTCAGTGGTCAAAATGCTTGCAACATGCTGTATGTGCCATTGACACTGTGTATGCCATTGTACTGTTCCATCCACATACTCTAATATGTTTCAGATACTAGCGCTGGTGCCACAGTCTGATTTTATAGATTTCCAAAATGATGAGTCCAGCAATGTAGGAATTTCAGTATGAAATTCCAATCCTGTAAACAGTTTTCATTTATTTCATTTATTTAAAACATAGTATATATTTACCATATGTAGTATTCTACTTAGTGTACTACACCTTGCTATGCTGTATATTCACTGTTGTTATTGCCATCTACCTTATAATACCTTACTGCCAGTCACCTGTACTGCTTTGTGCCACTTCTTTATTTGTTGTTACCTGTTGTCTGGTGTACCTGTGTAATTATGTTTACATTTATTTTATCTGCTACCATTAGTAAAACGTACTGTGTATGTTGACTGCTACATGACAAACTACAATGGTTTTCTAGTCAATAATATTGCATAAATGTAAATACTAAATAATTTACATTAAAAGACAATTCTAAATTTAAAAGGGAAACTCTGAATGAAAAACTGAAAGATAACTGCAGTTTTCTCTCAAGTGGCTGTATAAGTAACAATTCACTTACTACTGGCTAAATCCATTCCACTATTACACAGTGTTGCTTCCAGGCAACATGCACATTTTAGCACTGTCTCACAACATACATTTTTTTTTACAATACTAATTAATTACCCACTAGGTAAATTCAAACTCCTCCATTCATTAATTACCATTTGTATGTCGTTAAATATGCATCATGTCATTGTAAAGAGGCAACATCATGCAATAAAGGCTTAATCCAGAACTACTGAATGCAATATAGTGAGGCTTCTGGACTGATAGACAAAGTCAGGACTCATATTTTTTGTTTCCACAATGTGTTAGCACATCACCAGTTGTCTTGTGGTGGAAGATCATTGTTTCTCTCTTTTTTCTTTTCATTTTTCTGATGCATCCATACTCAAGTAAGTGTTTCTTTTGTAATGTAAGACTTCAGTTCTGGCCTTTCTATTCTACACTCTGAAGCCATTACTGAGAAAAGGCCGAGACCTCAACATTGTTGTATGTGTTTAGAATTACTTGGATGACAAGCAGAAACTGCAATTTCTGTGTCATTTTCTGTAAATATATTTTCTGCTTTTTTCCTGACTCTGAAAAATAATTACTTTGTATGTAATGACAGTTTTGACTGGAAATTGAATAATGAATGATTGGATGGTCTCTGACTTTTGCACAGCACTGGATGTGTATGTGTAGATTTTATTTGAAATAATTTTAATCAGAATTGATTCCTGGATAAATAGAGGCATTGTAAATCTCATTAAAGCGTGTTCACAGCAAATAACAACATATGATTTGTTTCTGCTGAATTTCAGAAAAGAATGCTGAATTCTACAAGAAAGAGGTAAATCCACTTTAAGACATTTTGTTTTTATCACACACATTTTCAACTTTATGACAAGCTCACACTAGTTTGTTTATAATTGAGTATGTTTCAGTTACCGATGAGGCGAAACATTATGACCTCTCACAGATGAGAAGAATAATCCTGCATGTCAAGGGCTAGATGGTAAGCGAACATTCGGTTCTCATAGCCGACGTGTTGGATGCAGGAAAAATGGGCAGGCATGATGATTTGAGTGACTTTGACAAGTGCCAGTTCTTTATGGTCACATGACTGGGTTGGAGCATCTCTGAAATGGCAAGGCTTGTCGGGTGCTACCGGTCAGCAGTGGTGAGTACCTACTGACCATTACCAGTGAGAGGGTGTTGGGCACCCAATGCTCAATGATATGCGATGGCAAATAAGGCTGTCCTGTCTGGTCCAAACTGACAGAAGAGCTACTGTAGCACAAGTCACAGAATTTTTCAATGATGGTTACCGAAAGAATCTGTCAAAAGACGCATATGGAGCTGGGGAACAGTCATACCACAGAACGGTCAGAGTTTCCATGCTAACCCCTGTCCACCATTGAAAACTCCTACAGTGTGCATGCGAGTATCAGAACTGGGCCTTAGAGAAATTGAAGAAGGTTGCCTGGTCCGATGAGTTATATCACATGGATAGCCTGGTACGTGTGCACCTTTTACCTGCAGAAGTGAGGGCACCAGGATGCAGTGTGGGAAGAAGACAAGCCAGTGGAGGGAGTTTGATGCTCTGGGCAGTGCTCTGCTGGGAAACCCTGGGTAAAGGCATTCATTTAGACGTCAGTTTGGCATCTGCCTAAACATCATTGCGGACCAGATCCACCCCTCCATGACAGTCGTATTCCCTGATGGCAGTGGCTTCTTTCTGCAGGGTAATGCGGCCTGCCATACTGCACACATTGTTCGGGAATGGTTTGAGGAAGATGATGAGTTCAAGATGTTGCCCTGGCATCAAAATTCCCCAGATCTCAATTCTATCAAGCATCTGTGGGATGTGGGTCGGAGCTGTTTTGGCAGCACCTGGAGGACCAACAGCATATGAAGTAGGGGTCATAATGTTTCGGTTCATCGGTGGATTGTAGCTCTTGTAACAAAACCTTGTATCTCAGAAATGGTGCCTTTACAAGAGAAGGAAAAAAGCATTATTTTGAATGTATGTGAAAGTACTGAGTTTGTAAAGAGCAGTTGACATTTTCAAAGGGTGTTTGATGTGACAGTATAATAATATGTATGACTAGACTGTAGTATATTAAGAATATTATGTAATAATGTAATTTTGTAGCTACGTCAAATTCATTATACATTTGTGTCATGCTGTTGTACATTTTCTGTGTAATTATGACGGAAAACTTTAGATTGAGCAAAACAGAAGAGGTCTAGGAAGAAATCGAGTCAAGTCCTCCATCTGTCTGGAAAGGTACTTCTAGTCTGTGTATATATGGCTACTCATGCCTGCTGTTGTCTGTTACTTCACTATTTCTGCCCATTAATAATGGAGCTCTTCATAGAGTACATTATAGTACACTACTTTAGTATGATGTCATGCTCTATATGTGGTGTTTGCCTTTAAAAAGAAAAAGTTGTGTATGTTTGTTTGGGTGTGTAGTTTTGTTAAGTACTGTGAACAGTACCAGGATCATGACCCCATAATGCAAGGATGCCTGCCCAGCAACCCGTGGATCACAGATGACATCATGTTCTGGAACATGAATTCTGAAACGTGAGTCATGACTCAAACACGCATATTTGGGCAGAAGAAGAAGTTACTGAATGATAAATAATACACTGTAACACCCTGTTTATTGTGGGGAATCAGCCAAGATTTGGCCAATTTATTTTTTATTTTTTGGCCTGACTTGAGATATGCTGTAAATTATGTGCTGTATTAGGATGCTGCTGCATGATTCATTGTGCTGAATAGCCAGTTGCCTCTCACTTTCAGCATAGCTCTTTATTTGATTTTGTTATTTAATAGGCAATTAATTTAAAATGCCAGTGTGGCCGGTTGAGGAGCAAATAATATTAATTATGTTGCAGCTTTGGGTAATAAAGGGCAATGGTACTAGTGTGTTTCATGTGTTTTATGAGAGAACTGAAGTTGCACAGGACTAGCATCTGGCTTAGCACGGTGAAACTATCAAGCAGCTAGTTGCATGTTGTGAGTTGCCTGCAAAACTGTAGAAAACCATGTATAAAGTCTATATAAAGTCATCCACTAGGTGCAGTTTGCATATCATCTATCTATCTATCTATCTATCTATCTATCTATGTATCTGAGTTTTTAATCTGTTGTTTGTGTTGAACCTTTGAAAATAATAATAATTAAGTAGCCATTACAGTTACTACCTACTTGATGTCTCACTCATTCTGTCCTAGAAGCATAAGAAATTAATTGAGGAGCCTCCATATCCTCCTCTGTAACAGTTTTCACAGTTTTTACTGTGTAAAATAAGGGGGCATCAAGGGAGAGTAAATCTTTACAGATTGTAATAACAGGGAGCTAAAGAAGATGTGCAATCTGTCGTTTAAACAGCTGTTTGCTAACTAGCTAACACAGCTGGTTACAGAAATATCAGCTTTGAGAATCTTGTTTTGTTTTCTTGTCCATTGACCTTGTGAAAATTGTTTAAAGTATGTTTGATGTGATCATGTTACGTTATTGATATTTGATTGTTTCATGACACTTGTTTCATGAATTTGAGACACTTGGAATTGTTACAGCTGAGTTTCAGTTGAGCTTTACTTTATACAACTCAAGTGCAGTTTAGTTTCATGTTGGTTTCTAGCAACTGAGGTTGCATGTTGGTTTCACTGTGTAAAGCCAGCCTTAAAATCATGTAATACTGTGCAAAAGATGTCTGAAAGATTTAAAATGTGTTTACTGTGCAGTAAGTGTTCCTTCACTCAGGAAAACACTGACATTAGAAGAGGCACAAATAATATACAACACGTAGCAACATTTTTTTTACTTTTTACTATATTTATGATCATTTGTATCTGTTATAATGATATACAGTGTTTTTTTTACAAACAAAAACACTGTTACTGGTAAGATAAATAATAAATGATGTGTTGACGTGGACATATCAGTATCATGTTTATAATGCTTTGTGTTAACGCCTTGTATTACGTGTGAGAGTGATTTGTGATCTGTCTATATTTTTGACCAGGGTAACCATGCCGACCAAACTGCGTGTGGAGCGCTGGAGTTTTAGCTTCATGGAGCTGCTGAATGACCCGCTAGGCAGAAAAGAGCTCCTTACTTACCTGGAGAAAGAGTTCAGTGGTACACACACTGCACAGACACACACAAACACACACACTGGCTCAGACACACATCTAAAGCATGTGAACATATTGTCACTTTCATACCTTGATTTTTTTACATTTTTTTCATATGAGAGAGTAAACATATGAGATGTAGCCTTTGTTTACATCATATGAGACAAAAACAAAGGCTACGTTCACATTACCAGGCTGAAGTGGCACAAATTTTGCACTAATGAGACAGATCTGATGTGGACACATAAATCTGATCTTTTCAAATCAGATCTGAGCCACTTTGGCCTACATTCATATTACAAGCCTCTGATTTTTTACTCAGATTCAGTCTTCTAACTCTATGGTTCACATTTGCATAGGTGCGTGACCCTGTCATTGAACAAACCTTTGCCCTGAAACAAAACAGCATGTGCACATCCTAATCAAAAACGTCATGTGAATGAACCACATTCGTCATGAACAACAAACTAACCAGCAGAACAAGCAAAGGCAAATGAGAAAGGATCCGATGCTTTGCATTTGCTCCATTTCATGGCACTAATTTCAGGTTAGGTACTGCTTCCTTGTTAACGCTGAAAGATGGCGCAAGCGCATTGACAAAACAACATGAGTTCCAATCTGAGCGTTCTTATTAAGGCCGCATGGCCATGAATCTGGTATGCATGCAATCTGATATGTATCAAATCTGAAACCAAGTTTGTGAACCAAGTGGTTTAATGTGAAACGGTGCATTGTAGAGAAACTTACCTGACCTCTTTATAGTGGTAGGAACTGTAAATGTAGCCATTTTATTTACTATCCTAAATGACCAGTTTTATGTGAAATATTCATAATGATAAAAAAAAAAATTCTTTGGTTACTACATTTCCTTTCTTCACTGCATGTACCTCTCCACCATGAATGGGTTCAGGCATCAGGCAGTGTATTTGTAACCATTTCATGTAATGGTTCTGTAACTTTCTGTGAGTTATCTTTTAGAGCAGAGATTAGAATCAGGTCTGCTCCTGCTTGATAGGAAATTTAAATCTGCAGTTACACCAGCCCTTTATAGATAAGACTGGACACTCAGTAAGTTTCTCTAGAATAAAGCATTTTACATCAAACCACTCTGAATGACTTTGATACATGTTCATGGTTTAATTATCATTTTCAGTGAAATTCTCTTGTATCATACAGTTACAAAAACACTGGTTAAGAAATTAAGAACATTTTTCCTCCTCCTGTAAAGTCACCCAACATCACAGGTGGAAGAAATGGAAGAAACTGGAAGAAATCTGATTGGCCCCTGAAGTGCCCCCACTCCAAGCGCTCATCACCTCCAGTCACATCATTGACAAACTCTTCACTTTTCAGTTAAATTCTCAGATTTGAATGTTTAATATGCCACTCACATGAATTGTGTAGATTGAAGGAGTTTCAGGAATGCTGGCCAATCAGTACTTTAATGATGCTGATATATGAAACTTCTTCTGTGCAACAGAAGTTTCTTAAGCAGTTGGTTTCATTTTTACGTATCTTTCTTCAATAGCTTTACAATGCAAAAACAGGCTACTTTGAGTAAATTATCATTGTTTGCGACCAAGACAACCAGGTACCACTCCATTTTGTCTGAAACTGATGTAGAACAGAGTGATTTCTGTGGACTGTTCTCCTATGAGAGCTAAGCAATCGCCTGCAAATTGCAAGTGGCCATCATAGGGGTCCAAGGAGAGACTGTTACATTTTTCACTGCTTACAAGTTTGCATGTCTGTATTTGGTCATTGTGAAATTATTAGCCTCATAAAATGTATGAAGTGAATAACATGTAAATAAATGAATAACAAATGCATTATATGCATTAGATATTACGAGAACCCACCAGTGCCAGACACATGAGTCTTTGTGACTACATGATTAAGTGATGTTTCATTTGTATCTGCATAAGCTTATGAGACAAGATATATGATGGTTTTAACTCGACCCTGAATGGCTTCAGCCTTCACCGCAATGTTTTTGGGAGTTTGAGGGCGCTTTTATCCCCCTGCACTTTCTGAAGGCATCAATAATGTAACAACTCCCCATGTTTCTTGTCTCCCTCGCTCCTTTCTTTCCCTTCTCCCAATTTCTCTCTTATTCTCTCAACCCTCTCTGCTCTCATGCTCACCCTCCCTTCTTCTGTTCTGTTGCCACTTTCCCTCATTCATTATCCTTCAACCTCTATTCCTGTCTTTTTCTCAGCGGAGAACTTGTGCTTCTGGCAGGCGTGCGAGGAGGTGCGGCACGGCGAAGCCTCCAAAATTGCAGCAAAAGTGGATGAGGTTTACAAGTATGTCCTCACATATTCCAGATTTACATGCACAATCACATGCATGTTACATATGCGAGCACTGAAAGAAGTGATGCATTGAATTTACTTGATTTAAATGTGAGCATCATGAAATATACATACATACATACATCATCTAAACCGCTTATCCTTCTGGGTCGCGGTGGGGTGCTGGAGCCTATCCCAGCTGTCATTGGGCGGAAGGCAGGATACACCCTGGACAGGTGCATCATGAAATAACCATTATTAAAATCAATAGTAAGGAAACTCAAAGACAAAATTTTAGTGCAATATATTATATTTATCTGGAAATTATGTACAGTACTGTGCAAAAGTCAGAGACCGGCATTTCATTGATTTAATTTCCAGTCAGAAGGGCCATTGAGTTCAAGTTATTGATTTTTCAGCATCAAAAAATAAGATAACATATATTTAACAATAAATTAACTAAATTACAATGGTATTTTATGTGTTTATTGTGTTCACCGTTGGATTTTAATAGAGCTTCCAGTCTTTTCAGTTCTTCTCACAGTGGAAGGATGGACAGAAACACTTGTGGATGTTTTCAGACCTGAAGCAGCATGATTTTCTCCTCCTTCTCAAAGATGAAAGCGTTAAACGCTGTTTGTTTGATGTTCACAGTTTTGGTGGTCTTTGACTTCTTTCCTTCCTTTTGCAGATGGATTATAAGCAATTTTGAGTGGAAATTCAGTAAAGAAAGTAATCTCTGACGTTTACACAGTACTGGATTGAAGTACACTCAGTGCATCACTGTTTTCAGTAATGATGATTGGTGTACACCAATCAGGCATAACATTATGACCACCTGCTTGTTTCTACGCTCATTGTCCATTTTATCAGCTCCACTTACTATATAGGTGAACTTTGTAGTTCTACAGTTACAGACTGTAGTCCATCTGTTTCTCTGCATACTTTGTTAGCCCCCTTTTACCCTGTTCTTCAGTGGTCAGGACCCCCATGGACCCTCACAGAGCAGGTACTATTTGGGTGGTGGATCATTCTCAACACTGCAGTAACACTGACATGGTGGTGGTGGGGCGTTAGTGTGTGTTGTGCTGGTACGAGTGGATCAGACACAGCAGTGCTGCTGGAGTTTTTAAACACTGTGTCCACTCACTGTCCATCCTATTAGACTCCTACCTTGTCAGTCCACCTTGTAGATGTAAAGTCAGAGACGATAGCTCATCTGCTGCTGCACAGTTTGTGTTGGTCATCCTCAAGTCCTTCATCAGTGGTCACAGGACGCTGCCCACAGGCCGCTGTTGGCTGGATATTTTTGGTTGGTGGACTATCCTCAGTCCAGCAGTGACACTGAGGTGTTTAAAAACTCCAGCAGCACTGCTGTGTCTGATCCACTCAGACCAGCGCAACACACACTAACACACCACCACCACATCAGTGTTACTGTAGTGCTGAGAATGATCCACCACCCAAATAGTACCTGCTCTGTGAGGGTCCATGGGGGTCCTGACCTCTGAAGAACAGGGTAAAAGGGGGCTAACAAAGTATGCAGAGAAACAGATGGACTACAGTCTGTAACTGTAGAACTACTAAGTGCACCTGTATGGTAAGTGGAGCTAAAAAAATGGACATTGAGTGTAGAAACAAGGAGGTGGTCATAATGTTATGCCTGCACTCAAACATACCAGTGAAGTACTGTCGCTATCTTGATATGTTATTAAGTTCACTTGGGTTTGCAATGGTTAAGTGTGTTTGAGTCTAGTTGCTTTTTTTGGCAGGCAGTTCCTTGCACCCGGAGCCAGTCGCTGGGTGAATATTGACAGTAAGACAATGGAGAAAACCTTAGAGGGAATCAAGCATCCTCATCGTTTTGTCTTGGATGACGCACAAATGCACATTTACTTCCTCATGAAGAAGGTAAGCAATTAGATGAATGCTTCAGCAGTTCAACCTAATCTCTGTGCTTATTGTTAATTAAAGTGGGTAATAATTGTGATATGTTTCCCTGCACTTAGAAAAGAAACCAAAACCTACGGGCCTCTGATATCATGTGTTATCAGCGGCATGCTGATGGGAAAAATAAAGATGTTTTAGAAAATTTCTGCTGTTGCATTCTGTGGCACACAAAAATCTTCCACCCCATATTATCCCCAGTTCCTCTGAATTATAAGATTGTGAAATAGACAAAAATACTGAATATACTAGTAGCTGAAAATGCTAGTAGTTGAAATACTAATGTTGTTAGGTACCAGTGGTACGGGTTTGCGGTATACCGATATATAAGTGAGTATCGATATGACGTTCTGCTATGAATTTTTCTATTATGAATTTTGTCGTACCGTGAATACTGTACATTCCCAAACACAGTAAATCACAAACAGCACCGGCCCGAGACAACCTAAACATGCGCATGAACAGCTTATGTAACTCTTATAAACTCAACAAAATGCTGTTTTAGACAAAATTGCACCACTGACTGCTACTTGCAACTACTTCTACATTGATCAGTAAAGGTTTGATCAGTAAAGGCTTGAGCAAGGCACCTAACCCCCAACTGCTCCCCGGGCGCCGTGGATAGGGCTGCCCACCGCTCCGGGCAAGTTTGCTCACTGCCCCCTAGTGTGTGTGTGTTCACTAGTGTGTATGTGGTGTTTCACTGCACAGATGATTAAATGCAGAGGTCTAATTCCGATGTGTTCAGACACAGTTGGCTAAAAGGTTCATTTCAATAAAGATATAATTTTTTCAAAATTATATTATTTTTAGGTTTATATTAAATTGGGTTTGTATATGGGGAATCCGTTAAAATCATTGTCCATGGTAATTGACTGTATGCTGCGAATATGGTAAATAAAGATTAGGCTAAAAAACAATGGAGTATCCTTTAAAAGCATTTATAATACACACATTAGAACTTAACAGGAATTTCGCATGCGAGGTCCAGGTTACGTTAGCCTATTGTGAGTCACACTGGGTATAAAAATGGTGTAGATTAGTGACCAAGCTTGGTTTAAAATGATTTATCTTTCATATCTGTAGGACTCGTACCCTCGCTACCTGAAGTCTGAGCTGTACAAAAACTTGTTAGCGAAAGCTATAGTACCTCAAGAAACGAAGAAAAGGTACGTATAAAAACACCCAAATATTAAATGCACAAAACATCTGAAAATTATGACCTCAATATGATCAAAGGAGGAAACCGCTGTCTCACAATGTGCGTGTTCATGTTTGTGTCCAGCGTCTTCCCGTTCATGCGTCGTCAGCGACATTCAAGCCCCTCTCCAGCGCTGGTCACACAAACAGCAGAGGATAACGGAAAGGCACAACCCAGTGCTGCAAAGGCCAACTCTGGAACTGCTTCTCAGATTTAGTAACACACAGACGACCAGAATTCAAGGCTACAGTACTTCTATAACAGTTATGGTTGGGTTAGCTATGATAATAGCAAATAGAGCATGAACCTTAAACTCTCAAAACCTGTACTGCTTCCTTGTAGCGTTGCTTGAAAGTCAACACTCGTACAGAATGACAGGAATACTGCTAATTTGCACTACCCCATTATCCCTCTCTAGGGCCCGACTGATATGAAAATTTGGTCACTGATATGATGCCAAATTTAGGAAAGCTAAAAAAATCAAATAACCTGCAATGTTTACTGATGTCATTCATATTTTACATTTTAATTTTATACTCCAAAAGTGTTAGTTAGCAATTGTTAGTGCTTTACTGACAGATATGGTGGTCAGTTCTTCATTGTCACATTACGTAAACTCAAATAAACAGCAGAGACGCAGTCTTATAATGTAAATGTAGCACTGGGGGTATACTGTAGAACTGTGGTTTCTTTAAGTATTATTTGTCTTATTTTTCATCAGTTCTCACCAGTGAAAAAGTTTTGTGATATATTCTTAAAAGGCTAAATGCATATTTTATATAATACAAAAATAATAATTTTAATCATGATGGGGTTTAGATTCATCAGTTCAGCCTCTATTATTGTCACACACAGTACTGTGCAAACGTCTTAGGCACCATTGATCTTTGCAATATATATTTTAGAATAAATGCAATTAAACACGAAAATGGTAAAAAATAACAAGAGTTTTGTACTGTTGATCTTGTGAGCTGGTTAGAAGAGCAGAGTTCCCCCAGCCATCATATAAGTTTGTTGAATGATTTGACATAATGAAGCATTGAGTGTTGGATGCTACCTGTAATACTGGAGAGATTAGGTTAAACAAACACATTGATAGATGTAAAATCACCATTATTATATTAACCCCTTAAAATCCCAGGCTTATTACATACTACACTCAAAAGATGGTTCTTTCAAGGGTTCCTTAGTAAAGAAAATCGTTCTATATAAAACCATGAATTCTCAAAGAACCCTTTGCTTGTTTAAAGGGTTCTTTGCGTTGTGAAATGGTTCTTTAGATTGATGGACAATGTTCTACATAGAACTTTTTGTTATGATGTCAAGCTTGTAACAATAAAAGAACCCTTTTTGGTGCTATATAGAACCATTTCCAAAAAGGTTCTATGTAGAACCATCTACAGCACAATCTGAAGAACGCTTCCACAATGCAAAGAACCATTTACGAAGTGTTCTTGAGTGTTCATGGTTCCATACATGGTTCTATATAGAACCATTTTCTTTACAAAGGAACCCTTGAAAACCATTTTCTTTACTAAGGAACCCTTGAAGAAGCATCTTTTTAAGTGTGTAAGGTTTATTATTCAGTTATTACAGGGACTTCAAAGCGAACTGGTTTATTCTTAGGTTAGGTTGGGCCCTGGCTATTTAAGGGGTTAATGTTACTTGTGATTATTGTAATATAGTAATTTTCTGAGCAAATAATGCTTATTGACCAGGTAAATATCTTTTTAAATACATTTTTGTAAGGTTTTGCCCTGTTGTCAGGAGGCTGCAAGTATGAATCCCAGCAATGCCTCAAAGAAATTAGGGGCACATTATCAATTATACCTTTACACTTACCTTTAAAACTGCGTGTCATCAATATCAACTGACATTATCCACTGACCAATATATCGGTCGGGCTCTACACCTTTATGATGTCTCTGTCAAATAAACAGGACTGTTATCATTTTGTATATGTAAGTCTAGTTAGGTTATAGCAATAAAACCATTCATCACACCAAACTGCTCATCTTTCCCAAAATATTATTCCCTCTTTCTGTCTTTAAAATTTTTTTGTTTTTTGTTCATATTTAGATATTTTTTTGTTATTATCTTCATGTATTTCTTGTGTCCTTTATTTCTATGTATTCTTTAATCCTTTGCACTATATATTGAATATATACTGAAAAACAGGACTGATTTATTTCTTACAAAACATTTTCTATGTGTGAAGACAGTCAGCATGGCAGCTTGAACACTAGCCCCCGGTCCAGGTCAAATTTGAAAGAAGATTGAAACACTTAATATGTAATATCATTCATAATCTGACATAAAAAGGCATGAAAGCCTCAGATCTGAAGTTGTGGATATAATGAAGCCATGCATTACAAAGCCTATAAATGCTGTATGAGGGGTTATCAAAGCCAAAAGCGTAACAATTAAGGCCCAGTGTTTTTTAAAACAAAGTCCTAAAGCATTAGTTATGATTTAATATGCTTGGAAAATAGTAGAAATCAATGTGCACTCACTGTCCAGTTTATTAGAAACACCTGCCTTGTTTTTCCAACCCCTGACCACTTCATTATCTCAATTAAAAACTCAAGCACATCTGTTGAACAGTTTGTCAGCTGCCGTCTTTCCTATTCATCATTGGTCAGTTTAGTGCTACCTCTAGGGTGTGGTCCATCACCAGCCAAGAGTGGCTAAAAGATGACCAACACAAATTGTGCATAAACAGATGAGCTGCAGTCTTCAACTGTACACAGTGTGAACCTACAATCCTAATAAAGTGGCCAGTGAGTGAATCTCATTATCCTTTTACTATCTTCATAAGCTGTTGTATTGTATTTATATATCTTATACTGAAATAAAATATAGTATTTATATATCTTATACATTGATGCTTTTTCCAGACTCCATGGAGTTTCTATGGTCTTTTCCTGGCCTCACTTTATGCCTGCCTGCTTCTGAATAAAGCACAATAACGAACAATTCTTGACGTTCTCTCATTTCTCGTTACTAATTCTTCTCTAGGAGAGGACATCAATCTTCAGATGGTGGAGAATAAAGATGGCAATAAATAAATGATGATTCAAATCTCCAGGACCCCAGAGTTATAGCATGGAACAGTGGTACAGGACCAGAAGAGTCAGAGACCAGCATTCATTTATTTAATGTCTAAACAAAACGGGCATTGTGTTACTCATTTTTCAAAAAAACAAACAAAAAAAAAAAACATTCAACAATATTACACTGAAGCCTCAACAACTATATGTAATATTTAAGTTTTCAATGTTTAGCGTATCCACACTTCAACTTCATTACAGTTTCGATTCTTTTAAGCGACTTGCTTTCAGTTTTTTCAAAGAAATCTGCAGGGAAATTTTTCAAAGATCAGAAACTTAGAACTTTCTCCTCTCTCTGAAAGATGGAAATTTTAAGTACTATTTACCTGATGCGGATAGCTTTGGTGGTCTGCTTGGTCTAACTTCTGGAAACTTTGGTTTCACATGTTTTCCTTTGGATTTGTGGATTATTTTGTATCTAATTCCTTCAGAAATTTCTCCTAAAAATGAACAACTTGTACTTAATGGCTGGTTTTCCTTCTGGACATGAAATATAAGTGCGGTCTCTGACTTTTTCACAGCACTGTATCCAACGTTTCTGCTCACTCATCAATACTGTGAACAACATTTCAGGTTAGTGCTTTTAAATAATCAGTTTCTTGTTTATTTGTTCATTTGCTCTATTAATTACAGTTCTATCATTTTTGTATTTCAACACAGTAAATATACATGGTAAGAAAGGAGGCAGATACTTTGACAACAGTGAATATAGAGGCATTATGGCAAGACAGACAAACAAAAGTGTGAAAAGTGTGTTTCATGAGGGGAAAAGTCTCACACTGACAGAATGTAACGACAAGACAAATACACATGCTAACATTAACATACACACAGATGTAAAATTGCATTGCTTAAGTTCCCAACCCCATGAGAAGTTTGTAGTTTATAAATCCTGAAGTGCTTTTTGAGCTTAAAGAGATTGTCATAGCAACAGGGCAGTGGGGGGTAGTGGGGGGTAGTGGAAAGGAGGGTGCAGTTGCCAGTTTCTACTGAGTTGTGTTCTTATGAAAGTAAAGCTCCAGTTCAAATCCCTTCAGATCTCAAACTCCAACAATAAAGGACCAACACAAGCACAGAAGAACCATCTAAACTCATAATTATGTACTCGGGCACATAAAGAGTTCAAGCTGAGGGTCCTGAGTTTTACAGGCCTAAACGCAAGTCTATTATAATATGGTTTAATGGAACTTCAGGCTGAATCAGTAGCTGCCCACTGCCATGTTCAGTACTGGGCAAAAGACTGAGACCATCTTTCATTTATTTTACATTAAGTACATAATACTTTGAGTACAAATGCCATTAAGTGCCAAGTCAGTGCCATTATTCATTTTCAGGAAATATGTCTGGGAAGATTAGATAGAAGAAAGTAGAAAGTCAAAGGAAAAGAAGTGAACCAGAAAAAAGAGGACATTCACAAACTGGAACAATGGACTGGCCATCCTTAGCCAAGACCTCAAGTGTTTGTGATTACTTGGATCATGAGAAGCACAAAATGCAACACTGAACTTTGGAAGTGTAAAAATATAAAATATCCCTGCAGTTTTCTCTAAAAACTAAAAAACAAATGGATACTGTAATAAAGAGTGGACACCTTCAATACAAACTGAGATACATACATAGATTATATGAGACTTGTGTATTTTTCTACGGCACTGAAAAATGAATAATGCATCCTTTAATGGCTGTTTATACAGTAAATGAGGAAAATGAATGGTGGTGGTCTCTGGCCTTTGCACAGTAGAGTAGGTTACCTCTAAAAAGTAATCAGTACAATTGGATCCCAGTTAAAAATGATTTTCAGAGAATCATTCAGGTGCAGTGTAACAAATTTCAGAAATAAGACATTCTTCACTGCTGGTTAATTTTAGTCATTCAAAAATGTTATATTACTAACACAGTACCAGATAGCCATTGCTTAGCCATTAAAACCCCATACAGGCACGTTTTCATGACTGCACGCATGCACATGCAGCCCTGCACTGGCACTGCTTGACGAAATCACCTTTTAAATCACAAATAAAGTGCTGAAGAGAACAGTGTTTCATTAAGGTTTGTATAAGAAAGACTGTTGTCATGTGCCAATAACCTTTTCCTGTAAACACAGAAA